TAAATGTCCTGTTACTTGAATAGGAACCTTAAGAGCTTTAGAATAATAAAGCCAAAGGTAAAAAATAATTAAAATAAATTTAAATTATTATTAGATACAAACAATGTAAAAAAATGAATGAATAAACATTTATATCCCATTAGATGTTTAGAAGGAATGCCATAAACCACACATAATGGCTAGTGTAAATGTTAAATATAGCAATAATTTTGCAATAACACATGTATGGTGTTGATGCCATGTAAAAAAATTATGCATTTGCTGTTGTTTTTTTGGCACACGAAAACAGTTTTTTATAAGTCTTATAAAACTTAGCATTGAAAGTGACGTATATTAAAAAATTTATAGAAGCATTTAACTGATAAATTATTTGTAAAAAAAATATAATTACTGATAAAAGCCTTTTACCAATAGATAAATTATCGGTGTACGAGATGTATAGATCATATGCGTTTGAGGGAATCAAAACAAAAAATACTAAACGAAAACAAAGTGATAACGTTGTTTAAATGGACTTTAAATCTTTCGTTCTTTTTTCAGTAGCAGATACAGACATTTTCTTTAGGTTTCTTGACGACGTTGTTAACTTGAATATAATCATTACTGAGCATACAATGACAAAAACCGTCGGTATACCTGCATTTACTGTAAGTTTAAAGAATTTTCGAAACATTTCGAAAAATGTTATATTATTGACATAAAATTGTGTATTTGTATAATAAGTTATTGTAATATTATTTCCAATATTAATTTGGGTGACACACATAGTTAGAGATTCTAGAATATATTGTGGTATTGTAATAGTTAATACTGCAGCAATAATGCAGATCATACGGTTCGGAGATATTAGTCTTGAAACTTTAAAAGGAAACCAAACAGCAATAAACCTTTCTAATGTTATCACTGCGACAATATCTATACTTAATGTGACAGCACATTGATTCCACATATAGATATTCGCCAAAAAGTAGGAGAGAACAGTATAAGCCAATTCGAAATTGAACAAATAGATAAGTGATGGAATTTTCATTAGTGACTGTGTTACTGAAAAAAATAAATCAGATACAGCCAACACGAATAGTGCAACATTTGTGGCAACCTTGAAACCGTTGTAAAGTAGAATGATTATTGTGAGAGAATTTCCTACAATCCCAAACACACACATGACGTGAATTAGAAAACAATTTAAAAAATTTGCCAAAGCGTCAACTGTTTCTGTAGAAATCTCCAACACCAGTGTTTCAGACATGATGTTTACTTCTTTAAAAAAACTTTGATTTTCACTAGCCATAGCAGAATTATATGGTGATTTGCTGAAAAAAAAAAGTAATGCAATTGATTACTATGGCTATAATCTTGTATTGCATATCTTTTACCAAATGTAATTGCTTATTAGTAAATAATATATGTAAATTAGTTATTAAAAAGAGAATGCAATAAACAATTTGAAACTCGTTAAAGTGATTTCTGTTTCGTTAATGTTTATGTAAAAATTGTATGCGTTTTTATTTTTGACGATAATAAATGTTAACAAATCTTCTTAATAACTTACTATCTATTAATTTCTCTATCCTAAGCGTTCGTTTAACATATATTGACACAGTTCTAGAACTTCTACTGAAAACGTCGGGGTCGGCGTGGTCGAGTCGGTAAAGCTCATGGTTGCTATACCGAAAAGTCTCGAGTTCGAACCCTCGGGCAGATGAGGCTCGTTAGCTGGGGACAGCCACTCTTCTAGGAGAGACAACTCCAAAATTAAACAACTGCTGCCTTGTAGTTTGTTCTTGGTTGGACAAAGGCTATGGAAGCAAATCCAAAAAGAAAAGCAGGCTGAAATCGGAGTCAATGGCCTCAATGGCGCATAAACAGTTGACACGTAACGCTTAATTGTGTTGGAGGCGTGGTCGAGTCGGCAAAAAAGCTCATGGTTGATAAATTCGAACAAAGTCTCGAGTTCAAAACCCACTGGCAGATAAATCTCGATCCCCTTCAACACTAATAATTAAGAACGAAGAAGAAGAAGAAGAAGAAGTTAACAAAGCTTCTTAACAACTTAATATCTATTAATTTCTCTATCCTAAGAGTTCGTTTAACATATATTGACACAGTTCTAGAACTTCTACTGAAAACGTCGGAAAATGTTTTTCACACTAAATGATCCTTTAAACATGGATATAACAGTTTAAAATGTGTTAATCCAGCAAAATAAAATTAAATGATGTATATCTATCTTTTAATGTGTCTTTTATGTATTAGCATGAACCTTTGGGAAGCTGTTGGTAATGCTCAGGGGACTTTTTCTGCGATGAAAAAAAAAGTTAAAATTCGGAGGGGTGGTGTCCCGGGAGTAGGCTGCGGTTTGGTGCCCGAAGTTCCCCAGCGGCTATCTTAGCACATTGGATCCTTAACTTAATTAAAGGTCAAACTGCAACTATGATGCCTTTATTTGTTTTAAACAGTACACTACACTAATGACATGGTGACGTCCGTCGGCGCCGCAGCGGCTACCTAAGCACAAGGGTAAGTGGTAGGACTAGAATCAAATATCTAACAGCAACTTTGGCGGTCTCCGGCGATCTGATGACCGGGAGCGCTACGTAGTTTGTTATTTATAAAACTTATCGGCCTTTTGTCTTGTCGGCCTTTTGGATGTCGGCCTATTGGATGTCGGCCTTTTTTCTTGTCGGCGTTTTATCTTGTCGGCCTTTGGATGTCGGCCTTTTGGCAGTCAGCTTTTTGTCTTGTCAGCCTTTTGTTTTGTCGGCCTTTTGTCTTGTCGGCCTTTTGTCCGGATCCCGATACAGATGCTTTGCCATTAAAAATAACAAATCTGACGCTTCAAAATAGAAAAAAAATAATGCAATAACTGTTTATGATTGAAACCCATTATTAAAAAGATATAACAATCGTGACAATATTTCCAAATATTTCAAACACAAATAATTATTGAAATAAGAAACACATTACAAATTAAAGGTATTACAATATATATATAAATATATATGTTTTCAGAAATATTATCATAAAAGTAACTATTGTTTATGACACCATATATCAAAATTAGAGTTATGTAGATCATGATTTCGAAAAAGTTCAATGCACTATGCACTAAGAACAATTGGGACTACTTGTCACTCTTAAACTCCATGAATCTAGTTTTCTCATTACTTTTTCGAATGTTTGCTAGCTTGTGATACAACTACCATCCAACATAATACAATACTCTTCATAAATGTCATAAGCCATTGATATATACTTTATGATATACACGATTAGCTTTCATGTTTAGCAACAACAAAAAAAAAACTAGTTTTTAATGCGGTTTAATACTTATAATTTAAAATAAAATCTTTTACACAATTATGTTAAACATCATTTTTTTTTATAATTATCATTTTATTGTTTATGGCAAAATACTTGTGTCAGTGGATTCCGATTTAATTGAAGTAATTTTCTAAGCAGATTGCAAGCTACGCGTAGTATTACGAATTGGGTATTACTTATAAATTACCTGTTGATGTTCCTAAGTTTTTCTTTGTAGATGCCTCAAAGTAATTAATTTTTTTCACGTATTTTGTTAGTAATAGTGTTTTTATTGATTACATGACTCACTGTTAGCAAAATCCATTGTTAAAACATACATGGGTGGTAAATAGTAACGTTTAACTTACTGAAAATCTACTTCTTCTTTGTCGACGAGTTTGTTATCTATATTTTTAATTTTTCCTTTTAATTTAATATAATTTTGTCCTAACAATCTTTAGATATTAATTAACGTATTTCTGCTTTTCAAAACGCAAAAGATAATCATTTTACCATACATAATTATAATTTCCCTCAAAATTACATCATACAAAACGATAGTGTATACGTTTAGTTAGCCTTTTAGTTATATTTATTCCGTTTATAAAAATTATCTTGAGAAACATAAATCAAACTACATCTATAAACAACAGCAATACAGATTACATTTACGAAATGACGGTTTATATTTAAGCATCTTGCTAATTTTGTGCATGCACCTAGGTAACTGATTCCGACATATAGAATATCAGTTATTTAGACTCTCTCCGCTAGCCGAGTGCTAAAAACTTACCGAGTGTGAAAATCTTTTTTGAGCTGTATATAACAAAAAAAAATCCCACTTAATATCAGCTACTGTGATAATACTAGAAATAATACACTTTAATTTTTTAATGTATGTTTATTACAAATATAAATGATTTTTTAATTGGTGATTAATTGTTATGTGGAATGGTTGTTAATTTAAGTCTAAGCTGTTTTTTCTCTCCTTCAAAAAAAAATTGAATTGCGCGCCAACAAAATAATTAACATATAATTAACAAACATTATATCACAGTTAATATTTAACTTAATGTCTACAATTTTATAGGGATAAGGATAATATGTTCTATATTATCATTATTTTAAAGCATATCTGGTACTATCATTGCTTCATTGCATTTAAATCATATTTATTAAACTTTTTTTTGTATTGACCCAGACTTATAACACTGTGTAAATTGTGCTAATTAACTTGTCAATTATTAGTAATATACAGCATTATAATAATTCTTTATAATAATAAGCATTGCTTCCTATCAGGCCAACGACAATATAAAATCTTTACTGTCAAGTCGGTCCTAAGCTTTTTTTTTCAGTCTTCTTTATTACCCATCTTATAGCGTTCAGTCTTTTTCGAGAACTCCATTTTGGTTAGTCTAGCGCGTTCCATTTAAAGACATTTCTTAATATAACGTATATAAACCGTCACAAATTTCTTATTGCGTACTATTAATGGCAGTATTTGGTATGCAATATGAGAAGAAATAACTGATAAAATCTTATTCATTTATATGTGTTTTATAGTTAACTATTTATAAACCCAAAGCCATATCAGCATCTCGCATCAAATGCCGTTTGACTATTTAAACAGACACAATTCCAAATAAATTGATTGTTCAACTTACATATTTTTTTAAGAAATAAAAATTTCAAAAATGCAAAACCTCAACAGTTCTTATACTGAAGCACCACTTGTTGCTGTTTCTGATGCATTTATCAAAGACATTGTATTTGTATTTAATTGTTTAATTATTCCATTTGTTTGTGTGATAGGCATTGTGGGAAACAGCCTTACAATTATCATTCTTGTTTACAACGGCATAAAAGACACGACCAACGTTATTTTAACAGCATTGGCTGTTGCAGATCTTCTCTTTTCTATAACACAGTTATGGTGTCAACTAATTGACATAGTGCGCAGGATTGACATAATTGTATTTTGCTATGTAAACTCATTTTTTGTTTCATACTTCTTTGGATGGAACCAATACGCTGTGTGTATGAGTGTTCAAATGGCTGCTGTAATAGCTGTCGAGAGGATGATAGCTGTGGTGTTTCCTTTTGCCGCCTCGAGATTACTTACAACGTTTCGTATTAAATGTATCGTGGTCGGTGTGTACATTTTCTCAGGGCTAATGTACGTGCCCAGATCGTTTATGTTTACCGTGGTGTGGGTGTTTAACAAAACATTTAACAAAACGATTCCAGAACTACAGTATGGAGACTTCCTAAAGTATCGTCTTTACGAGTACAACATGTACAACACTGGTATCATCGCGACATTTGCAGTCATTATCCCTACCGGAGCAATATTGATCTCCACATTTTCAATCATTGTTAAACTTACAGCTTCACACAGGAGTATTAAGCACATGTCTGCACAATCCAAACGAATTAAGAACGTAAAAAACATAAAAATAACACTGATAATATGTTTATGTGTGATAGTATTAGTTTTAATCCCAACCAACTTCATGACATATTATATTGATTTTAGCGGCACCAAATTTTCTTTTAATATTTTAACTGTTATAGATATTGTTGTAAGATTTATCTATCAACTTAATGCCTCCATAAATTTTATTATTTATGTTACAATGAGTCCAAAATTTTCTAAATCTTATAAAAAAGTTTTTTGCTGCAAGTAGTTTTTGTGATTTGCAGGAAGACCATGTATCTAAAATTAAATGTTTATTTCATATACCGTATCACGTTTCATTGTGCGTTAGACTAAAAACAAGAAATGTCTATTTAAAAATATCACTGAAATACACACCAACCGCCTCTTTTTCACACTGCATTACCTCGAACTTAATGCTATTCTTAAGTTACTTGAAAGATAAGTGTATAGTGAATGGAAATGCAAACCCAGTTAATCGAACATTTTATACATTACGTTTGCTATTTAACATAAGATCTAAATCTTGGTGACATTATTTATAGGAAATAAAAGCGTTTTGCTGTCAAATTTCAATAAAACTTACAAAAAAACTCCATCTGTAACTATTTGTTTTGTCTTAGGGAAGGTGGGATAGTGAGGGTTAAAAAAATTGTTTACAACTTAAGTTTAGCAGTTATTTCGCATTTTGGAAAGACATTGTTTTTGTAAATCGCAATACAAATGTATTTATATAGGACTAGGCCAACTTAATAAGGCCTAGCTCTTAATATTTTTGAAAAAAAAAACAGTCCTTTTTACGTTAAACTAAGGCGTAAGTTTATAGGAAGTGTCATTTTTAAATGTGCGATGGTATTACAAGTATCATAATAAACTTAATTTAATCAAGCGTATATTTTTGCATTACTGATATCATAATTAAAACTACTTTATTATCATTCAGTTTTTTCACAGTGTTATAAGTAAACAACAAGACACTACAATGAAAAACGCTATGTTATTTTTGCATAAATAAATCTACAATATTTCGGCCGATTGAGAATACTCATATGTATCCTATTATATTTAATTTTTGTTTGTTTTACAGTAGATCTAATCATAATGAGTGATTCACTTTCATCTTTCTTATAAAACTTAAAACTTTATAAAAACAAAGTTATGAATCTCTCACCAGTTTGTGATTGTCAATTAAATGTATCTCTTCTTAAAACACACAGAAAACTTATTTCTGTAAAACAAAATAACACAAGTGCAATCAAATAAAATTATGTGAAGAAATTGATAATGATATATTATGACTTTAAATTGTGTTATGTAACAATTTATTGCTTAAGAAAGTTTTTTTTTATTCATTACAACGCATATCACAACATTGTTTCATTTGTACTTAATATTTGTAAGAATATTTGATTTATTTTTTATCAGATATTGAATATGTTAAATAGACCTTCTGGTTTAAAAAAAATAGTTTTTGTATTACTCGAGCTAGACAGTTGCGGAAGATGAACACTAACAATATGTTTAAAAGTTTTCATTTTTATATAAAAAATTAACAACAGCTTATTGGGAATATTAACAATATAGTTATATAATTGCAAATGCTAAATTAATACTAACTAAAATGCAGCAAGTGAGAAATCAAATTAAAAAACACAACACATTTTTAGCATGAAAGAAATTAAATATTAAATAAATAATAGAGGCACAACTTAAATAAAATTAATTTGATTTTCTGATACCATTAGAAAAGGGTCTTGCACATACTAAATAACAAACATGAGGCTAGGCTGAGAGGATGCCATTTTTTTTACATTTTTTTTGTTGGAACATTAGTAACAGTCGTTTGTTCTGGGGATGGGTATACGCGAAACAAGGGGTCTGTATTTTATATATGTCATTTGTTGTTGCTATACATGTGTTATATGATGGATTTATATTCACTAAACATTTGAACATACACATAACATAAAGCTATTATGTTTTTTATGTTCATTACAAATCTCAAAATATGATTACAAATCGTATAACCAAAGGCAATATTAGCATAACACAAGGCAGTTGATAACATACGATGTTGCAGGGGGTCGAAAATTATTCTATGTTTGTGTTGTATACATTGCTAATATAAAGAAGATGCTTTTAAAAGAAATGCAAAAAGCGTTATTAAAAATCTATAAAATTAATTGAGTGAAAGACTATTTAGATGTCATCTGCTTGGTTATGTAAATAATGCTTTTATTAAATTAGTATACTATGTTGATTAATAATAAGAGAATTATTTAGCAAAAAACACGCCAAAAAGTAGTTAACTATTTCATCAATTATATAAATGTTATCTGTAATAATGATATTTTCTTTTTTTTTAAACCTTGATGGTTGTTCTGTGGATGAGATTGAAATATCTTGATATTTGTGTATGCTACTCAAAGTGCTGTTTAATGACCGTTGAAAGATTTTTCAAAAACTGTAAATCTATGCTAACATCTTGTTTATATAATATCATGGTTTTACTCAAATAGTAAGATACTAAACACAGTTACGAAAAATATTATTTTCTCACAGTATTTGTATTGTTTCGATGCTGTACGTATTTCAGATAGTATAGATTTATAAAAATGATATCAAACATTTAGCATATATTATGTGTAACGTCTAATTTGTTAATCAAATGAGTTCTAAACATTCATATTGTTATATTCAACGACCTTTCTTTAATACAACACAGAGAAACAACTTTTTATAAGTGTTTGCAAACTTAGGACTTATTATGACGTAGATAATGAAGTTTATGGAAGCGTTTATTTGGTATAATAGAAATACTATAAATCTTACCAAATAAGAGCAGTTTGCCGTAAAAAGATCTGTATTGTCAGAAGCGTAGTTATAAAAGTTAGTTGGAAACAATACGCAAATTAAAACCAAAAAACAAACTGTGAGGGTTATTTTTACCGATCTGATATCTTTGAATCTTTTAGACGCTACTTCAGATGTAGACATGTTTATAATGCTTCTGTATGATGTGGTAAGTTTTACTGCTATCATGATTGTGCAGCTTAGTATAGTTATTGATGGAAAAAATACAGCTAAAGTTCCAATGAAAACGTAGTTGTAAATAAAAAAGCCTTGACCAAGTACAAAATCAGTTGGAGTTGGGTATGCTATTGTGCTGTTGGTTGAGCTATAATAGCCCCAAACAATGTAATAACTAAAAGCTCTTGGGATATAGATAATAGCATCGGATAAATATATGGCAATAATAATCCACTTTACTCTGTATGGCTTTAGGACAGTTGAAATGATAAAAGGAAAACACACAGCAATCATTCTTTCTACAGCTATTAGCGTCACCATGTGGATGCTGATGCATACTGCAAATTGGTTCCATCCAAGCATATAGACTTTGTAATAAGAGTCAATGTTAATTGCTAGCTCAAGATTGTAGTGAACGACCATCGCAGGCAGTTGGCTCCAAATAGTTGTTATGGAAAAAAACATGTCAGATACAGCTAATCCTGTTAAAATAATATTTGTCGACTCGTTCAATCCGTTGTAAGACAAAATAATTATAGTGACGAGGTTTCCAAATATTCCAAAAACAGAAAAACAAGGCCCCAAAATACAGTTTAAAATAAAATCCACAAGTAAAAGTGAATTGTACGAAATGTCACAGCTTGCAGTATGTATTGTTTTTTGTCACACTGTGATTATCATAAGCTTCCATACTATTACTGGGTAATTGTTGAAATGCAAAAATCTAAAAAAAAAGAAAACCAGCGTTAACTCACTTAAGAAGGAATATTGTATTGTCAGTAATGATTCTAGAAAAAATTACACATAATACAAAAAAAAAATAAGATCATGTTTCATTCAGCATCTAAAAATTATAAAATTTTCCTTTCTAATGTTACCATTTATTTATTTTTTATTTTTTTTTGCTTATTGATAGCTACACAATATTATTTTGAATGAACTAGATAATTTCCGAGCTCCGCTTTAATAGTAATGACTATTTAATGAATTAGATGTTTTAAAATTCATTAACAAAGTGGAGAATCTCCCACATATTTTCGATTATTTTTCTTCTGATATCATTATAATTTATACAATCTTAATTGATTCTATGAACACGGATAGAACTACTATTGTTTTGCATCAATATCCCATTGTAACACTAAATTGCAATAGATACGGTAATATGAGTAGGTTTCCTATTGAAGGCGATGACTTGTCTAATGCCATTAAAATAAAATAAAAATTGTATTTGGGAAACTTAAAATCCAAGTATTGATTGAATGAGGCAAAATAATAATGTTGTAAATAAACAAATCTATAGGCTACCTATTATTGTCGTAAGAATAACCATAATACGAGTTTGAATAATTTAAAGTACTAAATTTATTTTATTTATACATGATTTCAAGTTAATAAGTAAATTTTAAAAAAAGTTACAAACAAATATACAAATATCTCATTTTAAAAATGTAATACGCCAAACACAATATAGAGGTTTGTAAATCACCGAATGATTGTTAATGCTTTACGACTACAATGGAACGGCGTGTACTAGCGTTAGAACTATTAGTACGAATAATAGATGAAATATTATTTTCAATATAGCTTTAAAATTAACAAAAAATATAACTAATCGAAATGGAAATACCTTACTAAATGTAACACTTATTTCTTGAAATTATAATTTGAAATTTGGGTAGCGAAAGCAATCATGTTGAGAATAATTTACATATTTTAATGTTAAATATTAATTGCAAATTTCAAACAGTGTATGATTGAGGTTTAAGATTAGACTAACCGTTTACATTAAAACACACAAGAATATTCTTTTTTTTATGTAGTGGCAAATTTAGGGCTTAATACGACGTAAACGACGAAGTTAACGCATGCGTTTATTTGATAGACTACAACCACAAGTCTAGTTACTAAGAAATAACAATATTCAGAATACAAACTACGATTGTTGCTTGTTAAATTAATTATATTTGTTGG